GTCTGGCTCTTTGTGACCCCATTTGGGGGTTTCTTGGCAGAGATCCTGGAGTGGTTTTCCATTTCCTCTTCCAGCTCATTTTACAGATGAGGAAACTGAGGCAAACAGGGTGAAATGGCTTGTCCAGGGTCAGACAGCTAGTAAGTGGCTGAGGCCAGATTTGAACTCAGGAAAATGAGTCTTCTTGACTCCAGGCCTGGAGCTCTATCCGCTACTATATGCCAGACACTGTGATAAGTTCTGGTGATACAAAGAAAGGCCAAAATAAAACAAAACTGAGCTCTCAAGCATCTCATAGTCTAAGGATGAAAAAGATATGTATATGACTATATACCAACAAGATACATACAGGATAAGTTGGAGATAATTTCAGAAGGAAGGCAATAAATTTAAGCAGGAACAGAAAAGCTTCTGGCAGAAGGTGAGATGTTGGCTGAGACTTGAAGGAAGCCAGGAGATGGGGATGAGGAGAGGGAGTGTTCTAGGCGTGGCAGTCAGCCAGAGAAAACGCGTGGCATCGGGAGATGATGCGGCTTGTGCGAAGAACAGCACAGAGGCCAGCGTCACTGGATTGCAGAAGATGTGAGGGGGAGTGGTGGATAAGAAGCTTGGGAAGGGTAGAAAGTGACCATAATATCAAGAGCTTTAAAAGCCCTCCAAAAAAGGGAGGGTTTTATACTAAGATTTTAAATAGGGATAAATTTAAATTTTTACGCTTGGTTTAAGAAATGGACTTTTTAAGTACAAGATAGGGGAGATGTGGGTAAAGGGAAGTTTTCTGTGAAAAAAATCTGGAGGCCTTAGTGGACTACAAGCTCAATCTGAGTCACAGTGTGATATGGCTGATGTGAACTTGGACTGCATTAAGAAAGGAAAGGATTTCAGGAATAAGGAGGGGTACTAGAGATGTACTCAGCCTCATCAGGTAGCGTCTGGAGCATTATGTTCAGTTCTAGGTGCCCCATTTTAGGAAGGCATTGATAAGCTAAGAGGTAGTGAAGCATAGAGGATAGTGAGGCAGCCTCAACGTCAGGAAGACCTGGATTTAGATCCTGCTTCTGACACACGCTGGCTCTGTGCCTCTAGACAGGTGTCTTAACTTTTCCTAGTCTGGGCCGATGACATCAACCTCAAGTAGAAACCGGGACCACTAAACCATACAGAAGGATCCATGTGGGCCACATATTAACTTTGTTTTAAAATGTTATGTTATCTATGTTTTACTGTATTTTTATACATTTTGTTAAGCATTTCCCAGTGACATTCTCATCTTGTTTGTCCACACTCTGGAGGGTTGTGTGCCGTGTGTTTTGACACCTCTTCTCTAGGCAATCCTGTAAGGTTTCAGTTTGCAGAGAGGGTGGCAACCTGCATTGATAGAGTGACTTTTCTTACCGGGGAGTTTCCTACAACCGTGGAAATCTGAGGGACAGTCCCTCTCTTTACTAACAAGCTAGAGAGGATCCAGTGGAGGACAGCCCAGAATGGTGAAAGGTTTTGAATCCATGTCACATGAGAATGGGTTGAAAAAATGAGGTAGAGAAGACTTTTGGCTTCAAGTACTAGAAGAGGGAGTTTATTTGGATTGTTGGGTTTGGCTGCAGAGGGAAGAATAAGGAGTGATGAGTTCAAGTGGAAAGGGGGCCAATTTAAGCTTCATGGAACCATTAGACCCACCCTAAACTGAAGTGGACAACCTTAGGAGGAAGGGGATTCTTCCTGCATGGAGGTCTTCAAGCTATCATGAAGCATTTATAAAATACCTACTATGTGCCAGTCATGCTGCTAGGCCCTAAGGATACAACAAGGAGCCTGTCCCTGCCCACAAGGTGCTTACAAGCCAAGGTTAACTGCTTGTTGGGTAGAGTGTAATATGATTCTTTGTGGGTTATTGGTGGATGAGATGGCTTCTGAGATTCATTCCAATCCTGAAATTCTCTGATTCTGTGTTGGAAAGAGGGGAAGGCACTTTGGAACAGGTGAACTTCTTGCTGGTGTCAAAAGAAACGCACATAGTTTAGCAAAGGAGGTTGGTCCGATTCTCATTTCTGCTTTGGAAAGGATTCTGGTCAGGCACTGTTGTCCTCTTCTCCCTGGTAGACTTTCTTTTCTGTAGCCGTAGGATCTAGGTCTAGAAGGGATAATAGAGGGAAGGTCTAGCTAGCCTGTGCCCCTAATATTAACAGAGTAGGAAAGTGAAGCCAGGGTCTAAGAATTCAAAGTTAGAAAATACCTGAGCTGGAAATAGAACCTGTCTTCAGAGTCCAGTTTCAGTTCACTGTCTACAGTTTCTTGGTAGTTGACTTCCTGAACTTTTGTCTTCTCTATCACGGTAAACTTTTTTCTTTTTTTAGTTTTATTGATGCCTTTTGTTTTTAGATTCTAGTCATTTCCTGAGCCTTCATTTGTAACAAAAAGAGTTAAGCCACAGGAACTAGGGCTACAAAGAGCCAACTAACCCAGAAATCACCATCAGAAAGTATTTTGAATCAGTCACCATCCATATTACCTACCCCACACCATTCCAGTGAAAAGAGGGAACAAGATGTGATAGTCCTTATTCAGCAAAGAAAAATGCCCACCATCCAGAGGTTGGGGAGAAGTATACTGCATCTAAAATACTTTTATCAAATGTTTAAAGAATGGCTAGGATTGCTTTACTATTTGTACCAGCCTAATCAGGTTGAAAAACACATGGATAACCATCCCAGATATGGAGCTGAGGGGCAGCAGGGTGGCAGGGAGTGGTTGGAGAGCAGTTCTTTTTTGGTTTTTAAAAGCTGGGCACGTTCCCAGGTCTTAAAATCCTTTCGATTGTGAATCGGCACTGCCAAAGTTGGTGTGTTACAGATGGCAATAACACTGAGTTAATTTACTGCCTGTTTTCTCTAAAGTAATGGTCTATTATTCTATTATTTCTTAGAGGACCTTGGATTCTGCTTTAGGAGAAGGGGGGAGGAGGGAGAAAATAAAAGCGAGGGAAGAGGTTTTTATGGGGGGGCAGGCTAGGAGAGAGCGCTTGGATACCTGGAATGCAATGACAGATCCTGTCTTACATCTTACGAGCCTAACCTAGAGGTACCAGCACTGTTAATGGGGAAATACATGACTGCAGACAGTGCGCCTTTGTCAGCAGGACCTTCAGTCAAGCAAGAGTGAGCAGCTTCTTTTCAAATTGCTCCTACCATAGGATGTGAGAGGAAGGAAGAATTTGTTGGAGCAGAAAGGAGCCTTTTTTATTATGAAGGCTTTCCTCAATCTAGCAGCACCAGCGTGGTATCATACTGTCATTTGAAGAACAATGGATTTGTGGTCAGAGGATCTGGATTCGGATCCTGGATCTCATATTTACAAGCTGTATGAGCTCAGGCCAGTCGCTTAATGCCTCTTGGCCTCAGTTTCCCCATCTGTAAAATGAGGTGGTAGTACTAAATGGCTTCAGAGATCCCTTCTCACTATAAATTTCTGTTCCTTTGATTTGGGAGAGAATGACCTCATTTGGGAATGTGGCTTGTGGCCAAGAACCTCAAGAAACATTCTCTAAAACTCATTCCATAGCATTGTCTCCTCAGTCCCTATTCTCTTGTCCCTGTCTTCCTCTCTTCAGTTCAGTGAAGCTGTGGCCCCACGTATTGACATTAGTCTCAGCCACATTCAGGAGCTCAGTTTTATGCAATCAGACCTAAGTAGTTCCCTAGCCACTTTTCATTGCCACAGGAATGCGAAATGGAAGGCAGTTAACCTAGGTAACCTAACAAGAATGCGGGTTTTGATCCCAGGGTCTCTGCTTACCCCTCTGTGCTATTGGCCTCTTTTTGTCTCTACCTGTTACAAAATAATGATAATAATAATAATAATAATAATAATAATAATAATAATAATAATAATAATAATAATGATGGTTGCTGTTCTGTTGTGTCCAGCTCATTGTGACTGTACTGTCTGTGGGGTTTTCTTGGCAAGGGTACTAGAGAGGTTTGCCATTTCCTTCTCCAATGGAGTAAGGCAAACAGAGGTTAAATGACTTGCCCGGGATCACACAGCTCCTGAGTGTCTGAGGCTGGATTTGAACTCAGGTCTTTCTGACTCAACATCTAGGGCTCTATCCACTGAGCCACCTAGCTGCCTTCTAACAAAAATAATAAAGTGTTCAACTTTTACATCGTGCTTGAGTTTCAAAAAGCACTTTCCATGAATTAATTATCTCATCTGAGCTATAAAGCAACCCCGTGAGAGTGAGGGCTAGTGCTTAGAACAGTGGTTGTCACACAATAAGTGCATAATAATTGCTGGTTGACAGTTATTATCCCCATTTGACCAATGAGGAAACTGAGGCTCACATAAGATGTGTGACTTGCCCAGGGACAAGCTTTGCTGCTCACCTCCTGTGTGACCTTGAGCAAAGGCACTTCACCCCTCCCTCCCTCAGTTTCCTCATCTGTGGAATTTTAAAGGTGAACTAAGTGGCTTCTACCATCCCTTCTAGCTTGAAATCTGTAATCCTGTGCTCCTTCCTCTGAAATCCAAATTGGTAAAGCAGTCCTCTCCCCCACCCCTAAATGTATGTTAGGATGACGGGCCAGAGAAAAACCCAGTAGAAGATGTGGAGGCTGGGTGGTGTGGCCTAGGAAAGTGCCCTGGGCTTATTCAGTGAGATCTTCTGTTTGTCCATCACTCACATTTCTTTCCCAAAGTGCCCCTCCCAGAGAGCTAGCCTTTATAAGAAAGAAGAAAAAAAGAGGGGAGGAAAGAGTTCAGCAAAACCAACCATCACGTCATAGAAAGGCTGACATTCTAAGGTGCGGGATTTTACCCCCGCCAAGATGGAGGGAGGGGCATCCTCAGCTCTTGTCTTGGAGGCCAAGCTTGAGTGTTTGAATCGTTGCCCGTAGAAGCTCAATCTTAAAGGACCCATTGGTCCATCACTCTGGGTGCCAGGCAGGAATTAGCCTCGGAAGGTCTTCCCTAATAACCTGATCTGTTTGTCTTTCTTCTCCCAGCCAAGGCCAAGTCCAAGTGTGGACCGACTTTCTTCCCTTGTGCCAGTGGCATCCACTGTATCATAGGCCGCTTCCGATGCAACGGATTTGAGGACTGTCCAGATGGCAGCGACGAAGAAAACTGCAGTAAGTGTCTTTGAGCCCCCCGCCCCACAAGCACCCGGGCTACCCCCCCCAGCCCTGTCTCGTTTGGCTACCCTCCCTCCTGACCCACCTTTGGTCCATCACCATGTCTTAATAGCGTTTACGTCGTGCTTGAAGGTATGCTAAGCGCTCCATGAACATCATCTCATTGGACCTCACAACAACCCTGGGGGGAGGTGCTATTCACTGTTGTTCATTTGTTTCCGTTGTGTCTGACTCTCGGTGACCCCTTTTGGAGTGGTTTGACATTTCCTTCTCCAGCTCATTTCACAGCTGAGGAAACTGAGGCAAACAGGGTTATGTGCCTTGCCCAGGGTCACACAGCCAGTAAGTGTCTGAGGCTGGATTTGAACTCAGGTCTTTCTGACTCTGTGTTCTACTGTGTGCTCAACTTCTCTTCTCCTCCACCCCTTTCATCTGTCCCATTATTCAAAATTTATATCCTGAATCCCCCCCCCAAAACCCTTTCAGATTGAGTTCCGTCTGACTTTGAGTTCCACCATTTGTGATTATTCTCCTTTGTTCCCATCACTCAGAATCCTTAACACTTGTGTGTCTTCAGCTGTGGTTACCCAAGCATATACTTGTATGTTTGGTATTAGACCTATTTTATAGATGAGGAAAATGAATCCCAGATAGGTCAGGTGACGTACCCAAGATCACACAGATGGGAAGGAGCAGAGCCAACATTTGATGATGTCTTTCAACTCTAAATCTGGTAGTCTTTTTCCTACACCACTTTAAGACCTCCATGTGTTTCAATATTCCTTTGAAGAATTATTCAGAGAGAGTGGTTAGGCCAAAGATCTCACTCCCCCCTTCTTCCTCCCCACCCCACAAGGGTTTTTCTTTTTTCTGTTTCCCATGTCTAATTATCTTCCTATATTTTCTTCATTCATTCATGCAGGAGTGATTAAATGTTTCCTTCCTGTTAGCTTTTTTCATAAAAGTCCCCTTCTGTGCTCCATCACAGAGGCATCTCAGAACGGAGGTGATCCTGAGTTCTAGAAAGCTGTGTGGGTGGAACTGAGACCACTGGCGGGTCCTTCCACACTGGGCCTGGCAGTGTGCTCTTTTTTTCCTAAGGCTCAGCCTAGATGAGTTTGGAGGGGTTTTCTTACCGTACAGTTGGCTGTCAGTCAATTACGTTTGGATTTTGGTCACACAACCCGTGAAGATAACCTGCCAGTGTGTAGCCCTGCTTGGATCTCCATCAGGGTAACAAGCCACAGCAGACAAGGGGAGATCCTTGAAATGGTGACCTGCCAAGAAGCCCATGCCATCCTAAATGGCATCAAAGACTTAAGAAAAAGAGAACCAAGACCTGCCCTTGAGAATCTTACAGACTACTTGGAGAGAATTCCTGAAACACCCACTAGGTGCCAGGCACTGTGCGAGGCAGGAAGAACACGGAGACAAGGTCACAACAGCCTTTGCCCTCAAGATGCTTCCATTCTGCTGGAGGGAAACATTACCTACACAGGTAATAAAGACTGGCAGCTGGGCAGTGCAGGGGAATGGAGCCCTAGACTTCGAGTCAGGAAGAACTGAGTTCAAATTCTGCCTCAAGTCATTTACTAGCTAGGTGACCCTAGGCAAGTCACTCAACCTATTGCAGCCTCAGTTTCCTCCTCTGTTAAATGAGGATAATAATAGCATCCACCCCTCAAGCTTGTAGTATCAAATGAAATAACACACGTAAAGAACTTTTCAAACCTCAGATATCTGTGATGGGGAAGGGAATAAGCATTTATGTGTTATCTGCTATGTTCCAGGCAATGTGCTAAGCTCTTTTTATAAATATTATTAATTTGAGATAATAGAAATGCTATTATCATCATCATCATCATTATAGTTAAATATAATAAATAAAATAAATTCAATAAAATAATAAATATAAAATAAAAATACAACAGAATAAATACATAAATAAATATAATAAAATATAAATATAATATATAATAAAGTAGCAAGCAAAAAGCCCCTTTTTGAGGAGGGATGTTAAGGGGAAAAGGGAGAGCATTCCTGGTCATGAAGGACAGTTCGTGTAAAGTCACAGAAGATATACAACCAGAGAATAATTCAAAGATAGTCAAATATAGCCCAAAGATGGACTCTATGTGTGTTATAAGTAAGAGCTTGAGGCAGGATTCAAAGCAGCTGTCCCAAGTTCTATCTGCTGCCTGCTGCCCCCATGTTGTCCTATATTTCCTTTCCTGAAGTCGCTCACTGTGTATGATTGATTTGCTTGAATCTCATCCTTTTCTTTTATAGGAACTAACATGAGAGCATTGCCACCCCTGCTGCAGACCAATCCTGAGTCCTTCCTCCTATCCATGGTTTCAGTGTCTATCGGGCATCTTTTTATTGTACTTTGCTTATGTACCTTGGAGTCATACCTGACTGTGTGACCCTGGGCAGGTCACTTACCTCCTGTTTGCCTCAGTTTCCTCATCTGTAAAATGGGGATAATAACACCACCTACCTCCCAGGCTTTGTTATGAGGATCAAATGAGATCATATTTGTAAGGTGCTTAGGAGAATGCCTGGCACATACATAGATAGTAGGACAATCTTGCCCTCAAGGACCTTACATTCTAATGAGGGAAGACAACACAAGAGGGAGCTGAAAGCAATGATGTGGGGAGGAAGGTGTCCTGCGCTGGCATGGTGGTAAGTCCAGAGAGTCAGTAGGGAGATGCTTTAAAAATGTTGGATGGCTAGAAAGATGAATGAATGAATGAATGAACTAATGGAACGTACAAACGAATGAACAGATGAACATACAAGGCTTCTTCTCTTTCCTTTCCCATTTCCCATTCCATTTCTCTTCCAAATCTTGTCAATTCCACCTCCATGATAACTTCACATGCGTTCTCCCTCCCCCCACAGAGCCACCACCCTGATTCAGGTCTGTACTATCTATCTCCTGGATCATTATAATTGACAGCATATTGCTCTCTCTTCCTCCAATCCATCCTCCACACAGATGCCAAACTTCTCTTCCTACCATACGGATCTGACCAGGTCCCTCCCTCACTCAACAATCTTCATTGTCTCTGTTGCCTTTAAGATAAAATCCATAAGTTTTAGCCTTGGCTTTTAAGACCCTTTAGAGTCTGTCTTTTCAGGCTTATTTCATATCACTCCCCATTCAAACACCACATTCCATCCACATGGGACTCCTAGCTGTTCCCTGAACTCAGTGTTTCACTTCCCACCTCTGAATTTTTACCTCTTTATTCCCCTGCTTGGATTGATTGACTCCCTCCTCATCTCTCCTCTCAGAATCCTTCTCTTCCTTCAAGGTTTCCCTTAGCCTCCACTTCTTCAGTGATGCCTTTCCTTCCCTGCCCTGATTAAAAGTGTGGCCTTCCCTTCCTCAATTTCCCTTCAGCACTCTGGGTCTCTACCTTGGTCTACCATCACTCCCCACCTTGTATTTTGCTCATCTATTTTAGCTGTATCAATCACTGCCTCTCCCTCCCATTAAAATCTAATTTCCTTGGGAATGGTCATTTTTCAGCTTTGTCATCTCAGCCCCTACCACTGAGCCCTGCAGATAGTCAGATGAGGCAACCAGCATTTATTAAGTGCTTACTGATTTTCCTAAACCACAGGCTGGACCACATCACTCCCATCCTCAATAAACCCCATGGCTCCCTATGACCTCCGGGACCAAATATGACATTCTCCTTTGGTATTCAAAGCCCTTCATAACCTCGGCCCTCCTCTCCTTTCCAGTCTTCATCTACCTTACAGCCACTCTGCCTCACCTCCACGTTCTCTTCTATCCAGTGACACAGACCCTCCATTCTCGCCTCTGGGCATTTTCTCTGGCTGTCTCTCATGCCCGGAACATTCTCCCTTCTCATTCCTACCTCCCACCTGGCTTCCAAGTCTCAGCTAAAATCCCACCTTCCACAGCAAGGCCTTCCCAACCCCTTTTCATTCTACTTACTTATTTCCTGTTTATTTATATAGGTTGTGTGCACGTATTTGTTTGCTTTTTTTCCCCTGTTAGATTATAGGCTTCTTGAGGGCAGGGATTGTCTTTTGCATTTCTTTGTATCCCTAGCACTTAGCACAGTACTTGACACATAGTAAGTGCTTAATAAGTGCTTATTGGCTAACTGGTTGACTATGTACACATGAACTAATGGAATGTACAAATGAATGAACAAATAAACAAATGAAAGAATGAATGATAAAGTGTGTTTCTGGAGGTTCCATATACAGGATGCTCTCATCTTACAAGAAAATAAGTCTTCATGTGTTTTCCCCTGATTCTTAAAATTCATCTTAAGCTTAGCTGGGAGAATGTTTCTTTTTGAAGTACTACTGTATTTGCATATTACCCAGTTCCTTCAAGCATTCTCTGCCTTATCTCTTCTCCTTTTCTGAGACACCCACTCGTCTTCCAAATCCCAGGCAGACTTTGTCACCAACTGGCCCACGGCTTCATCTCTAGGCAGAAACATTTCCTTCCCACTGCCACTCCCAGCATTGAGGATGCTGATTCTTGCGAAGAAGCAGGGCCACTGCCTGGTCGGGGTGGGTGGTATTGATGGGAGATTAAGTCCAAATGTCTGAGGCCTGGCTGGCTTCTTTTTTCTGGTTTTGGTTAGAAAAGCAGCTGAATATAGAAAGATGCCTCTTGCCTGATTCTTTACCTGTCTGCTGGGAATTCAGTCTTCATTGGCAAATAGTGAGGTGCCAGAATCCGGGCTTCTTCAGTAAAGAGGTGCCCTGGATGAGTTCTGAGACCCCTTCCAGTTTGGGGACGTTTTCTTCCCAAGCATCTACCTAGTGCCATGGCTAAAGTAGTAGACTTGGGGTCAGGAGGTCTAAGTTCAAATCTGGCCTTAGACTGGAACTAGCTGTGTGACCCTGGGCAAGTCACTTGACCTCTGTTTGCCTTAGTTTTCTCATCTGTAAAATGAGGATAATAATAACACCTCAGTCACAGAGTTGTTGTGAAG